AAGGAGAGATCTATAATTGACCTTTGAACAACATGGATTTGAACTGCATAAGTCCACTTATATGCAGATTTTTGCCCCAACAAATATAGTACAGTACTATAAATCTATTTTCTCTTCCTTACGATTTTCTCGATAACATTTTTTTTCTCTAGCTTATTTTATTGTAAGAATATAGTATATAATGCATATAAATACAAAATATATATTAATTGACTGTTTATGTTATCAGTAAGGCTTGCAGTCAACAGTAGGATATTAGTGGTTAAGTTTTGGGAGAGTCAAAAGTTACACACAGAGTTTTGACTGCATAGGGGATCAGCATCCCTAGCCCCTGTGTTGTTCAAGGGTCACCTGTACTTTAAGGGTGGCCAAGAGCTGACCCTATCCCTGGATTTGCAACCTCCAGGAAAATAATTTTTTTTGTTTAAATCACTGCTCTTTTGGACTTTTGTGGACGCTGAATAACTCACCTGTGTATCATCTGCATGATGTCTAACACTTTACATAGCATTTCCAGGTACATTATCTCATTTTCAACAGATAGGAAAATACCTGTTTTCCTGTGTTATTTCTGGCAGGCCCTGGGTTGAGAAGAGCCAGTAAGGGCCAATAGCAATCCTCAGAGAGCTATTTACTTGCCAAGGCTGAAGACTGTAGGAAAACTGAAAGATTTGGTTCAGGAGGCAAAAGGAAGATGTTGCTGTTGGAGTTGATAATAACTCTCGGAGGAATGGACCTGCCTCCATTTTTGTGCAGCAGGGCCCTGACTCTGAGACTCAACCCTTCCTCTTACCACTTCACTTACCCATTCTTACACTGGTCCTTGCCAAGAACTTTATGTAAATACTGTCTTGTTTCTTTTTTCCCTGAAATAGAGCTTCAGCAGTGTTTTCATTACTCACTGATGGGCTGTTGAACTCATCCTCAGTGCAAGTTCTTTTGGGGTATGCCTGCTTTGTGTTAGACATGGTGCTGGTGGCGGAGTAAGAGTCCTTGTACCACAGAGTACTCAAATGTCACCTTCTCTACTTGGTTCCAGAGTAGCAATTGGCCTGTTGTCCCCCAGAGTTGTTTCTCTTTTGTTCTGTCCCCACTTCTCTGCACTCTCCAGCGCACCCTGCCTCCACCCCAAATCTCACATGGGGCTATCTTCAAGGGCTGGCCAGGCATTTTTGCCCTGGCCCCCTTCTTTCCCACTCCTCTAAGAAATCCTAGCAGGACCTGGCAAATGCTATCATGGTCCAGCCTGACCGAACTCTTCCTTGAACCTGCCTGTTCCATCCAAGAAACCCAGCTTGGGCAGGCTGTCCCTAAAGAAGCCAGAACATTGATTCACAGCAGACAACTTTGGAGAGGGTGGGGAGATGTCTCTAAGCAAAGGAGGCATATGTAGTGGTCTAAGCAGAATCCTGTTTTCCAAAGGCAATGATGACAGGGGTTAAGGTACCCTGATGATTTAATGACAGGAATGGTTTTTCTTATCTATTATTCATATTTTTACTCCTGGCAATCCTGTGAGTTGTTTAGGGTGACTTTTATAGATATGATCTCCAAGGAGGAGAAGGGAGCAAAAACTAACATTTAGTGAGCACCGACCCTCAGTTAGTTTCTTGTACACACTGGCTGGTATCACAGCAGTTGAGAGCGTGTGGTTGAAGTGAGTCAGGGCTCAGTTCTACACTAGATCTGCTGTGTAGGCTCACTGGCTGTGAGGCTTGGACCAGCCAGTAAACCAGAGTGGCTTACCTTCACTGCCTCTTCTGCAACGTGGAGATGATGGGCCTTGGACCTAGACTTGAGCTCTCCAGACTACAGTGGCTACCAATATCGGCTCTGCAGTCAGAGCTGATGGAAGGATCCGTCATCATTGTTCCATAGCCAGGAAACCTTGGCCACCTCACTAAACTTACTCTGAGTCTCGTTTCCACTTCTGTAAACTGGGGATGAAAACAGTCCCAGCCTCCGGAAGTTGTTACAATGATTGAATGAGAATGCAGGTAAACTGTCTTTTGTTCCATAAATAGTAGTTCTGATTTTAATTATTTTCATCATTACTAATTGAAGAGCGTATTCTAATGTTCTGGGAAGAAAGAAACCATCCACCTTGCCTACCCTCCTACCTGGAATGGAGATGCACTCAGTTAATGAGCCTTCTCTTGAACTGAAGGGGCAGCTTTTCAACGTTTCTCCGGACTCAGAGATGCCTGGCTGTGTTGACTGGCCTCTGAGGCTGTTCCCACTCCCAGGTTTTAGATCTGGTTTCTTTCACCCTCATAAAGGGCCCTGGCAGGGCCGCCTAGGACAGCCAGGGTCTCCAGGGTCCCCAGGGACAGAGAAGCAGCCTGTGGTGGCCATGGCCACTTTCTTATCTTACCTAGGCCCACCTGATCCACCCTGCCCCTCAACTCTCCTAACACTCAGTCCTCCTGAGGAATGTGGGCTGATGTGAGCCCTTGAAGTCTGGCCAGCACAGTGCCTACCTCGGTGAGCTGGTTGCCCTGAACACCCCGTCCTCCAGTCATGAAGACCTCAGCAAGGACTCCCATTAATCAGGAGGGCTCTGTTGTTCCTTCTTTCTCCAGGCCCACACAATTGTTAGGAAATTGTTTCCTTGAATGGTGTTGGCTTCTCAGCATCTCCTACTCTGTGCTCAGTTTTCAATTGTCTACAATGGTGTAGACTGTGTGTAGACACAGGGGATGAGAGGACCAGCTTCAGGGTCAGGTGGCCCTGGTTCAAATGGCCCTTCTTTACACTGACTGGCAGGTACTCAGTGAGGCAGACACTGTACCAAGTGCTTCATGGGGATTAGTGTTATCTCACAAACCCTCATAACATTCCCAGTAGATAGCTGCTTTTAACAGAGGAGGGCATTCAGGCACAGAGGTAAAGTACCTTTCTCAAGGCTGCATAGCATGGGGGTCTGTGACAGCAAGGAAGCAATCATGTCTGGGAGGGGAAAAAGGAGAAGGGGAAGGAAGAAAAAGAAGACACGTTGCCCAGAGTTTGTCTCCTCAGCCCCTGGGCATGCGAGGTCCAACTGACTTAGCCACTGTCTGAATTTTGCCAGAAGAAGGTGTGGGCATAGGGAGAAGAGGTCAGCAAGGATTGAAGGGGAGGTTGATGAAGATGCAAAAAGGCCTTCCCAAGGAAAAACACATCTTAACGGTTTTGGCAGACAGGACGTGAAGAGGTGCATCGTTTCCAGGACGTGAAGAGGTGCATTGTTTCCCTGGGAGGAGCAGGAAGCCAGCAAGGATGGCTTTCGGTGTGTCATAAGCAACCATTTAATTCAGAACCTGTGTTTAGATCCCAAGGGAGCTCAGGCCACCAAAGTCATGAATACACATGAGCCTAATGCAGCCTTGGGGACAGTAAGACAATGAAGGTGACATCCCTGATTCCCGTGGTTGCCAGTTTGTTTTAATTTTTAAATTAATGAATAATTTCAGATGTAAGAGCTTTGGCCTACAGAGACACGTAACCTTCCGCATAGATTTTCTTGTCCCTTGTGCTGTGTGATTTCCACATCTTCCCCCATGTTTCAGCAGTTTCCTCTTCTCTATTCCTAAAAGAACCTGCATTTCCCTTTCCTGACTCCCTTCCTGCCTTCCTGTGTGCTAAGCCTTTGCAGTTGTCATCATGTCTTCAGAATGCATTTGATAGGTACAGGAAGTTGCACCAGACGGGAGATGGAACCAGCAATCAATAAAAAAAGAACTGTGTTTCTAAGAAAAATGCATCACGGCTTCCCACCGGAGTTGTGTACCATATGTCCTAATATCCGTGGAACAATGGATCTAAATTTTAGCTCTTCTGCTTGGCTTTCCCCGCCATCTCAACAAAAAAGAAATTAGTCCCTTTTAACCTGCGGCTACCCAGCTTTCTGAGGATTCCTAGTAGCGATTGCCTTTCCTTTTAACCCTTTCATCAGATGTCACAAAATAAAATCTCTCCTTACAGCTTTATTTCTCCTGGCTACTAGTTTAGTATATTTATGGTGCATGAGTCATCAAGCTGCCGCCTGATTGGATAAAACCCAAGCACCCCTGAGACCATCAGTCAATTACAGCTATTCTCAGCTTCATTCACAGATTTATTAGCTTGTACACACAGAGCGAAATTCATTCAGCAAAGTTCATTCATAAAAATTTCAACACTCTGCATCATCCTGCACATCTCAGCCTTCTGCTGCCGACGGGCTCCTAAAAGAAGCTCCTGAGAACAGTCCAGGAGGGAGGGAGGCTCTGAGCTAGGGTCGGCAGGCTGGGAGGGGATCTGAGGAACACGGAGGGATTGCAAGTCCAAGAAATAATGCGGAGCAGTGCCCGTCGCTAGTACTTCTGGCTTGTGGCCCGGACGGGATGCAAGACAAGATCTTCCAAGAGAGGGCAGCCGTCAGAATCAACGAACTCAGGCTGAAGGGCCTTTGGCTCACATACACGTTTTCTTTTTTAAATGAACAATCACTGGAACAAATAAAGGGTTAATAGGCCAGTCATTGCCCCGCCCTGTGGGAGCCGGAGGGAGCAGGTTTGAAAGTTCCTGTGTGCTGAAGGGAAGGCTGGGGGTGGGGGGCGCTGAATATTTCTGCAAGGCTCCTGCACGGCTCGCTGGCGATGCGGCGGGACGGGCTGGCCCGTGTTCGGCCCGGTTCGGTGCCTGAGAGTTGGCCGTGAGCGATCCCTGCCGCCGCGAGCCCGGTCCAGGCTTTCCCAGCAAGGAATCCAAGGCGAGAACACCGAGTGCTGCCGCTGGGGCCAGGGAGGGACTGAAATCAACTGGGGAGGCGTTATCTACCCCCCACCGCCCCCCCTCCCTCCCCCGGGCTGTCACCCAGAAGGGCCTGGGAGCCGAGGTGGGCGAGGGCGAGAGCAGAGTTGGAGAGGTGGCTGCCGCCAGTGGCACGGGGCGTTGAGGCATTTGCTTTCCGTGCCGTTTATCTAGCAGACGACGAGGCGATTTATGCAACAGTATCCTGTTTCAGCACTGCCAAGGCTATGCGAAAACGCGGTCAGGACAGCCTGGCAGGACTTGTGCTGTATGTAGGACTCTTCGGGCACCCCGGGATGCTGCACAGGGCCAAGTACAGCCGTTTTCGGAATGAGTCCATCACGTCCTTGGACGAAAGCAGCCCCGGAGGCTCAGTGGGGAGCAAGGGCTCGGCGCCTCCTCCCTACCCCACCCTGGCACCTCACCTGCCGGCTGAAGATGCCACCTTGGCGTCCCAGGAGAGCCCCACCCCATTGTGCACCTTGATCCCTCGCATGGCCAGCGTGAAGTTGGCCAACCCAGCCACCTTGCTGAGTCTGAAAAACTTTTGCTTGGGTACCAAAGAGGTGCCCCGGCTGAAGCTCCAGGAAAGCCAGGACCCGGCACCCAGCAGCCCAGCTTCCCCTGAAACCAGTCCAAATAGGGCTGGCTCTGCACCTCTGCCGCAACCAGACCTGCTGGGGCACAGGGCAGCTGCCTTAACTCCTGATGCCTGCCCCCTTCCTGGCCCTGGGGAGCCAACCCCAGGGAGCAGGCAGGACAGGCACTTCCTGCAGCACCTGTTGGGGATGGGCATGAACTACTATGTGAGGGTAAGTCTATCTCCCTCTCTATCCCCCTTCTAGGAACTCCTGGGGGAAAGGGGCATCTTCCCTGAGTTATGCAAGGGGCTGCACACCCTGGCTGGGGTCTAGGTTTGGACAAGACATTGTGTAACTGGACCGAGGAGAGGAAGGGACCTGGGCTTACAGGTTTCCCTAGGAATATCTGACTTGTATTGAAGTCAGATAACTTTTGGTTCAAGGATATGAACTTGTGCTAATTTGTAGGTATTTTCCGGGGGTAGGGATAATTTCTGATAGAGACAGGGAGATGGCACCTTCTTGTCCCTACTGGGCGTAGCATCTGCCCAAGAAGAGTCAAGAATTTCAAGTCTGTTTAGTGACTGAGACCTGCTAGGCTCTATCGGCCATTGTATTTCAGTAGAGATTTTTGTGCTAGAGGAATGCATGATGCGTAAGGGACTTGAATTATTTTTATAAATGTAATTCAGCATTTAACAGGCACCTCTCAAAACATGGCTGGATCTCTATGCTTGTGCTAGGAGCCAGTCTTAGGTCTTTGGTGCCGCCCCTTTTTGTCTTTATTGCCTACACTGCGGCAAGTGGGCCTTGTCCATGAGCTGTGTGCAAAACCAGGGTCCTCCCTGGTCTCATATTTGCCCTGGCTCATTCCAGATGTGGGTAAAAGAAGAGTAGAAGATTTGGTCCCTGCTCTTCAGGAGTCCATATTTCAGTCCAGGAGATCAACAAATGCATGTGAAATAATAAGAGAATAATGCTCACAATAGATACCTAGTGTACGGATGCTGAAGGAATACAGAGAAAGGGAAAGGTTGTTGTGGCCTGGGATTCACTCACAAGGGAGACCTTCAGGAGAAGGTGTGTCTTGGAAGAGGTATCAGGTCTGGATCGGCAGAAGGGAGGAGATTCCTGGCGGGGCAAGAACGTGAGCAGTCTAAAAGGCAGGTGCAGGTGTCACTGTGGTGGCTGCAGCAGAGGATCATATAACCTGGACTTCATGGAGGTGGGGAATACTGGAGGCTGGTGGGTGACACAGAGTGGCTGAAACATAGGTGGTGCTCAAACAAATGTGAGTTGAATAAAGACAAATATAGATCGTGGGTAGCTTGGGGAAGAGCGCACAGTTGACTGACGCTCTTAAATGTCAAAGGAGGAGTTTGTAAATACTGCGATGGGTAAACAAGAACCGTCGTTCGGTTTGTAGGCAAACTGTGACTTGATGCAAGTGTTTCCAAAAGGATCTATCTGAATTTATTTGAGATTGATGGAAGCAGGGAAAAAATAAAGATTGGGAGGTCAGTCCGAAAGATACTCTGAGAGTTCAGGTGTGAAGGGATGGGGACATGGATTAAGGTGGAGGTGTGAACAAGGAGATGAGGCCAGAGCCTCTGTGGGAAGCCTCCACAGTCTTGGGTGATTGATCAGATCATTTCACCTCATAATACAAATAGTAGAATAGTGAACATTTATTGAAGAGTGGGTAGATTGGTGAGTTTGTTATTGTTGTTTATGAAGGTTACAGGTGATTATTGAGGAAAGGTTCTGAGGAGTGAAAAATAACTCCAAATTTAAGCCTCAGAATGGGATTAGTGATGTCATTGATAGAAACAGAGTGAGCTGGGAAGGGGGGGGGTCATGCTAACTTCGCTTTTGACATATTATGTTTAAAGTAATGACATCTAAGTGGTATTAATTTGTAGGTAAGCAGTCATATAAGACTGACACTCAGGTGGGAAGCCTGATCTGAAGGTGTAAATTTGAGAGATAGCCCGATAACTATCATAAATGAACAATTAAGGTCTCAAGGAAGGCCAGATGGTGAATGCTGAAAGGGTTACAGAGAGAGCAAGCTTGAGACAGCATTGGCAAATGGATAAATAAAACCTCTAAGGAAGATAAATTTATGGGACACTCAGTTCTTGCCCTCCCCTTTAGTGACATGGCTCATAATGGACTTCATGTATCTACTAAAAATTCATGTGCACCTTCTCATTTGTCAACCTAAGTGTCTGCCAGGTTCTAGTGGGAAAACGAGAAACTCCAAACCCGTGTTCTCTGCACCTGCCTTCCCATCACCTAGACCTCCTCTACCCTCTTCCTTGCCTTTCCTTCCCTCTTATACTGCCTTCCACTCCCCACACCTACACACCTGTACAATTTTTAATGTGAAAAGAGTTGCTGTGTGATCACCACCTTCCCTAGGGAGTGTTTCCACTGCATTTTAGATTTTTAATGAGGACATCATCTGTCTTTTCATGGTGATGATAACTGACCCGAGGGAAGACACTGACCCCCCTGACCCAAATGACCCACACTATGTTGCCAATAGACAGTGACATGAGACACCAGCTATCACTTCTCATAGGAAGTCAAAATACATGGAAGAGCCTACTTTATTAATTTTTATAGAATCCCAACTTTGAAAGATGGTAGGGACTCAGAAGTTATCATGTTCAATGACTCTATGGGGAAACTAAAGTCCAGAGAAGTGATTTTTTTAAGGCCACGCAGGTGAATCAAAAGGAGAGTTAAACTCAAGTCCCCTGTGTGCCATTCTTTGCTCTTTTCAACATAGGTTTCCATCCTGGGTGAGATCCTGTTCCTCAGCATTCTTTTAGATGTGAACCAATTTAAAAAAATGAAATGCCAACATATTAATTTACAGTTAAACATTATCATACCAAGTGCACCTGAATTGTGATCCTTGTACTCCCATCTGTAGGAAGATGCACATAGGAAGATGTAAATCAAAAGTTGCTTAGTGATGATGGAATCAGAACAGGGAAGTGAGAGAGATTTTTGATGGCCAGTGGACTTAGGGGCAACTTGTGTAGGCAAAAGGTAGCCACGTATTCAACTTCCTCATCCATATCATGTGACTGCTCGTCCCCCTGCCCAAACTTTTTTTTTTTTATTCATTCACTTGTTTATTCAACAAGTATGTATTGTGAACCAACTATGTGATAGGAACTGTTGAGGGGCCTGGGGATAGATGAGTGAATAAAAGAGACCAGGTCAGAGCCCCCATGGAACTCACATTCTAGTGAATGGAGATGGGCCCGATTGAATAAATAAGTAAATTTAATATGTCATGTGTAATAAGTGCTAGGGAGAGCGATAAAACAGGGAAAGGAAGAAGACAGTTGCTTGTGTAGAAATGGAAGGTATTGCATTCCTTTTGAGGGAAAATGGCAGAGTTACAGCTACTCTTTGTTTTGTTTTCTGGCATCTTTTATCTTTACAATAGGAACTGTATTTGCCTTCTACTCTAAGTTAGGTTTGACTTTGAGTTAAATATCTTTCCTTAGAAAATTGACTCTTTTTGGTCTTATGATATAGAATCAGTTATGCAGCTGAAAACATTTTATGAATTCTGAGCACCTATGTTTGAGTAACTTTCACTTAAGTTTAGACCTTGAACCCCCTGAAGATCTCTCAAGGAAAGTAGGCCAGCAAACCATTCTTTGAGGTATATCACACCAGAAATGGGACAACCAGACCCCAGTCTGAGCAAAGCAGTGAGGTGAGTACAAGTTTGTTAAATGGTACCAAATAGTGACTTTGTTCTCACCATATGATTAAGGCTCATTTCTTTATGAGATATTCCCAAGTCACTTTATCCATCACCGAACATTCACTTGGAGGTCCCCCAGTTGCCCAGCACAGTCTGTGAGGATGGAAAATATACAACATGACTCATCTCTAAAATGAGAGAATTGGTCTGTAGGTCACCCAGGCACTATTTGCTGACTCCAGGGCTCCCTTCTTCATAGGGGAGGTATTTAAAACCTTAGTTCCCTTGCCCATTCCCAACCCCCAAATTACTTATAATTTTGTTGAAAGCCTAAATAAAACAGAGGCAAAGACACCAACCATGCCGGAGCCACCACAGGCCAGTCCAACAGTTCTGACCATAGCTTTCCAAGAGAGGCTCCATCTCCAAATGACAACACCGAGCCCTCAGAAGTACATTCTCTACCCCACACTTTCCAACCTAAGTGAACATAAGACAGGTTTCAAACCATGGTTTGTCTCACTCCAGGGCTCTTCCCCTTCCCACCCTCTCACTGCACCTCAGAGCAAGACAGGCGGACCTGGAAGTTTGTGGAAAGGAGTGTCATAGAAAAAGGACCACACTGGGCAGGACAGCTTTACTATAGGGCCGACCTGTAGACCTTGCCTGGTTGCAGTTATTTGCATGATTTCAGTCTCCTCACTTCAACCCATCCTACCCCAACAACTTCCCTATGGCTGCTGTGACAAGTATCACAAACTAGGTGGCTTACACAGCAGAAATTTATTCTCTGGCAATTCTGGAGGCTAGAAGTCTGAAATAAAGGTATTGGCAGGGTCATGCTCTCTTTGAAGAGTCTAGTAGAGGATCCTTCCTTTATTTTTACAGCTTCTGGTGGTGGCCCGCCATCCTTGGCATTTCTTGGCTTTGAGAAGCATCACTCCAATCTCTGCCTTGTCTTCACATGGCTTCCTTGCCTCTGTGACCACATCCAAATTTCCCTCTTCTTATAAAGATACCAGTCATTGGATTCGAGCCCATGCTAATCCAGTATAACCTCATCTTAACTTGATTATATTAACTTCCAAATAAGGTCACATTCATAGATTCTGGGGGTTAAGACTTCAACTTATTTTTGAGGGAGATGTAACTCAAACCATAACAGTCCCCAAGTACATGTATTGCAATGGATTTGCCCCTATAAGTGTTCTTGGGTATTGGGCTCATCAGCTGTGCATGCAAATATGAATTCATTGTTGAGGAATTTTCTTTACTTCCTTTGTAAAGCTCACAGCATATTCTTATCATCCATCCTCCTTTGTCCAATGTTATGGCTTATTACTGAGCCAATAGACTGGTATTGTCTATTGTCTAGACTACATGTAGTACATGGTACCACAATGCCCCAATATCTTTCACACAGAAGGGCACAGGTATAGGAGTTACAAGATCTGCATTAATGGCTGTGGTGCTAACCAGCTGTGTGACCTTAGGT